CTCTGTGAATATCAGAAGGTTCATCAATTTATTGCCAATCTTCAGCACTTTCAGTGAGCTTACTGGCAAAATCCTCAAAGTCCACGATCGACCCCAGGGGCAACTGATGGAACTAATTGAGCGTTCCTCCCTGCCAGGTCGATAAGAAAGCCCTGCAACATACAAAATCAGAATATCCATGCAACACCACCATATTTTCAAAAGTTCTCACATGACTCGACGGGTCGGATGACCCGTCAAACACCAAGTTGGTCTCCTGAAAATTGTTCGGCAAAGCTACAGTCAAAATCTCCCTCGAGAAGGGATGTCCTCGCGCCCTCCTGTACTGCCTCCCCTCGACCTTGTCCTGCAACTGGCGCAACTGCTCCGCCATCCTCTCCATCGCACGATCCCTTACATCTCCTCCACCTCTATAACTGGACTCATCCTCCTCCTGAGTACCGACCACCGTCGTCGGCGCGGTGGTAGCTTGGGATGTTTGGTGAGTAACCTGCTACACCGCTTGCGCCGCCGCGTTGTCCATCATCCTTTGCTCCTCCGCCCTCGTCATTGTCACCATCTGCTGAGCGGGAACCTAAACCTCCGCCTGTGGTGGTGCTCCTCCCTGCACCACCGGTCCTCCTAGTTGGGCTCCTGCTGGATTTGGTTGAGGCGACGGTGGCATCGCCGCCGCGGCTGCTGCACGAGTTTCCTGGGCACGACTCGAGTGGGAACCGCCAAACCGTGAAAAACAGGCGTGGGATTGGCTGGCATTTGCGAAGGGCCAGAGAAATCTGGAGGAGGGCCATGCCCCAACGGCCTGGTCGTCGTCCAAGCCTCATCGAACGAAGACTGTAGATTGGTTCTGGGAATTCCATTCGCCATAGCTACCAAGCTTGACAACTCTGAACACCGCTTTTTGAACGAAAGTCCCCACAGACAGCGCCGATAATGCAAGTGTGATCGTCCTAGCCGGTTTGGAATAGATCGCCTCTCGTCTTTGCCAGTAGAATGCCGGAAACCTGCAAATAACTCTAACACTGGGGGGTTCTCCGGTGAAGAGCCTCCGATGCTTAAGTAAGTATGTGTGTGTTTGAGTAGAATAATGAAAATTGTGTGTTAGGAAAGAAAGGCTCACCCCTACTTATATAGGGATGAGATACCTGACCTAAGGGCTGCCCAGATTTGGTGAGTTGGCTGCTCCAGCTGCCTGTCCGTACTCTGACATGCAGCGGTGGTGTCAGATGTGGTTGTCGCTATCAACCAATGCATTCTCGCCCCGTGTCCTCTACACATGGGATAATTATCCCTCTGAATATTTCCCTGAAATTCCGTTAGAGGCTCTTACACGCGCCTGTGACTAGGTCGATCTCTAGAATACTAACAATCCATAAAGTGGTCGATCTATTCAGGTCGACTCGACTGCTCGACTGCTCAACTGCTCGACTGGTCGATCCTTCTACTACTTGTGATACGCTGTCTGTCCCAAAGTCTTCCAGGTCTTATCTTCAAGGTGTTCGACCATCATCATCATGCTCGATTACAATTAGATTAGTTTGGCATCCTCACGGCACAACCCCTTCAACCGGTTCGGTAGAACGGTTTATTCTTGTGGGTATAATATCTTATATCAGTACATAACATTATTTGTTTGGTCTTTTGGTACACCGTATATCACCACAAATTATATTAGGATTCTAGATAGGCTTAATAAATCAATTAAATTTATTTAACAGAATATATATGATATGATTTATAATGCTTTTATGAAGATTGCATAGCCAAATATAATGGAGATTGTAAAACGTCCTTTTTGATAATCTATAGCCTTATTATTTTAAAATTGTAAATTACTTAATTTAAGAAAGAGAAAAATTGTGTAAGTGTATCAATCAATTTAAAATTGTACTCTAGGTAATTAAATAAAGCCCTGATTTTTAGATGTTCCAATTCGATTTCATTTTGAATTTCACATTAATATTATCTGACTCTGTTTTATGTTTAAAAAAAATCTGAACTAAAAAAAGCAGTAGCCAAATGATAAAAGGTTTTTAAATTTTGATATTCAATTTGAAATAAGGCCCGATTTCTATGCAGACTGATTTTATTTTAATAAACATAATCTGTTGAAATTAGGTAAAGATACATGTTATAGTATTTTTCTAATTTGAAATTTTTTATTTTATGGTAAACATAATTTTTTTTAAAAAAAAAAATGAGAGAATTTTAATTTGACAAAATTGTCATGCCTAATTTTACCTAAATTAAATCTATTTCTATGTAATCCCTTTTTTTAATAAACAATTGATCTATCTCTATGCAATAGTCATAATTAGAAAAACATATATGTGATAATATTTTGTTTAATTCGAAATTCTTGGTTTGATGGTGATTAGTTTATTTTTAATAAAAATTGAGAAGGAATTTTGACTATTGCAATATTGTAAGAATCATTTGAAATTTACCTAAATTAAATCCACAAAATTGATTTTTTTGGAAATAATTTAAAAACAAAATTCAGAAACTTCGAAAAAATAGAATGCAATAAATGTTAGTTGACTTTTTTTATTACTATTTTTGGTAAATAGGTTATCTCTTTATATATATAGATATAAATATAGATATAGATTATACATATAATTATGTACTATGTATATACTTCACATTATTCTATATTAACTAGTACTGACCCGTGCAATGCACGGGAGGTTATATTTATCTGATTTTTTTTTAATATGAACATTAAGTTTAATGGACTTTGTAGATATGTAACACATATATGATGAAAACAAACAAACTTAAAACTTCATAAAATAGTAACACTTCTTTGTACACAACGTTTTGGGTCTGATTTGGAGGCAAGTCATCGTCATTACAGACTAATATCTTCAATCTAATTCGATTGGTGACACGAGAGGCGGCAACATATAATTGCCCATGATTGAACACCGGCTTCTTAAGCAATAAACCAACATGCAATAGCGATTGTCACTGGCTTTTGTTGATAGTCATGGCATAAGATACCATAATGGGAAATTGTCGCCTCTGAAATTTGAAAGGAATTATGACATCGGAAGGAGTTATAGCCATTCTAGGAATCAACACCTTCTTGCCTTCATGATCCCTAGTGAGTATCCTACACTCAAGAACATGAGCGGATAGTTTTGTCACAACCAACCGTGTCCCGTTACATAAACCCAAAGAATGATCCATATTCCGCAACAACATGATGGGGGTTCCAATCTTCAAATGCAACTGATGATTTCGAATTCCCGAACATTTGATACTATTCAAGAACTCAGGCGTATGGATATCAGAAAGAAAATCATTATTCGAGTCGGACTTGCAAGTACTGTCAGAGCTCAAGTACGTATTACCATTTGATAAGTTCAACGATGTCATGTATTCATTGACGGACTCAACAACATCAAGAGTCGGTGCTAATATTTCCCTGTCCTTCAAATAACTGGGATCATCGGTTGTCTGCTTAAACATTGGATACGTGCTTTCTACAATTTGAGCAATCGGATCATCGGATGGTTGAAGCAATATATCCTCAGGTATGTAAATCATTACACAACCATCATTTGACCCTCCTATAATTCCATCACCAATGCTCGCAATCCATTCAGCGAATCGAGAAATCTCTTCACGTTGCTCGGAATCTCTAAGACTCTGAAGACGCATGTTCTTTTGTAAGTCTGAGCACAGTACAACTCCTCCAGATGTCAGAAGCATTAATAGCTGCATTCACAATATCTTGACGACTACCCTTTGGAAGCAAAAAGGCTTGTGACATTCAGATATGAACTCAATTGATACTCACCTGTTGCAAAACAATATATATTAAATTGCAATTTAAACTATATAGAATATCATTATTTCTTTTGTATTATAATTTAAATAAATCACAAATTCGAAATACCTGCAATCTTTTGTCTTATCCTACATAATTGCATGATGAGAACCCATGGTTCTCCGTTGTCCGCAGATTGGAAGTGATTTTCACAAAAAAATAATCGTGAACATATTCACCCCAAAGTTTGCAACGCATCACTAATCCACTATTTAGTTAAAAAAAGAAATTTAATATTAAATTTTACACAAATTTTACAAATATATAATTCATGTACTATATATATTACTTACTCCAAATCCATCATTGAAAAAGCGATCCCTTGCTTTTCTTCTCCATTTATCCAATCTAAATGAATGGGTCGAACCTCGACGACCATACCAATAGCATCTATAATAGATATAGTAGAAAAATTAAATACTATTTTATTAATTAATATATCAACAATAAAAAATTAAAATTGAAAAAAATTTGAATCCACCCTAAATAATAAATAAAAGATTTACCATAAAGGATTGAATCATCCACAATGTCATCATTTTGAAGAAATGCAAAACTACGGATGTCGAATTCTCATGTAAGGAAATTAGATAACATGTGAAGGACCTTAGTATCCCCATTAATTATAACTTTGTAGTCTGCATTAGTAGATCGAAATTTACCAACGTTGAGCTCTAGTTGGTAGTTGCTAAATATATAGACCCCACCCTCCTCAAGCAGCCCAACAAATATGGGCGGATCACGAACTATACCAGTTATTCGTGATCCATACAAAACAAATAAACATTGTTATTGAGATAATAAAAAAAATTAAACAATTATCAAATAAAAATTCAATGCAATATATTTACCGTCATATCGTGGAAAAGAATTTCCCAATCGCTTTGGTACGATGCATGGAAAGATCTCTCGAAAATATGTATGGCTCTAAGCCTAAGATAGAAGCTCATATTAATATTGAGTTGTCTGATCAAGCCTAATTGTTCCGTGACAAATTTTTTGTGTTTTTTTTACGTGGAGAAGAATTTGTTCTGAAGACGTGAGGATTGATTGGGGGAATCTAGGATTTTTGGGTTATTTATAGTGGTAGTAGTCCTAATTTTTTTTTCGGAATATTTACATGTAATAATATAATATGAATTATTTGTGAAACATAATAATCTCGGTCCTAATTCGTAAAACATAAAATATTTCAGTCCTATTTTAATTAAAAATCTCGGTCCTAATAAATAAATAAATATAAACTTTTGTTTAAAGACGTGTTTCTTGGAAAAAAATTATAGATTTTGTTAGCTATTTATTTATTAGGACAAATAAATTTAATTAAAATAGGACTGAGATATTTTATGTGGCTAGAATTTCACACGAATCATGCCTAAATTTTCATAACCAATTTCATACGAATTTACAATGACCTTTACAATAGGACTGAGATATTTGTTATTTTTTAATCATTATAATTTAATATATTTTAAATAATTCCCTTTTTTTTCGTAGGAACAACAGCTTTTTATATATTGTCATTTAAATTTTAATAAGTGTTTTTTTAAATATTTATATATAAAAAAAATGTGATTAAACATGTTCAAGCATGTAATAATGATTTAATCGGATAAAAAATAAAACAAAATAAATTCAGCAAATTAAAATTGTAAATTATTAAAAATTGACAGAACACAAATAAAAAATAAACAACAAAAACGGATATACGAAAAAATCGAATAGTAAATGAAATAATAAATTATTTTATTTTCTGAAAAATTATAATAAGCAACCACAATCGTTCAAAACGACAATTATTATCAATATTCAACAAATAATCCATTCAAG